AATAATTATAGTAGATTAAAAAATTAATCTAAAAAACCACGTTTTTCAAGTAAGACTAAAAAGCACAAAAAAATTTAGTAGATTAAAAAATTAATCTAAAAAACCATGTTTTCAAAAAGCAAAAAATAACCTTAAACGTGGTGCGCATGGAGATTGTTGGGAAGAAGTGAAATACAAATGAAATAGATGCGCACCAGGTTTAAGGTTATTTTTTGCTTTTTGAAAACATGGTTTTTTAGATTAATTTTTTAATCTACTAAATTTTTTTGTGCTTTTTAGTCTTACTTGAAAAACGTGGTTTTTTAGATTAATTTTTTAATCTACTATAATTATTCATTTTTTTTTCAAACTGATAGAACTTATAGATGTGTGAAATGACAGGTTGGAACAGGGGCAGGTCTTAAAGCAACTCTGCTGATGCATGTGAAATCCCCCCAAAGATGAGATTCTTGGTGAATGTCAGGGAATTTTCTATTACAGTAAATTTTCTGGTTTGATGCAGACAAGAATTAAGTGGGAAATGAAATTAGCCTTACTTTTGACACAAGAAGTTTCAAGTTTTGTTCCATTTTGTACTTTCAATGTAAGATGAAGAGAAATCCAGGAAAATCATTTGGCAAATGCTTCTGTCATCTCACATAGTCTCTGTCTCAAAATGTAGTAGTCTCTCAAATAGTCTCGGTCTCAAATATAGTCTGAGTCTCAAAATGTCTCAAATATAGTCTCTGTCTCAAATAGTCTGTTTTAAATAGTCTCTGTCTCAAAATACAATAGCCTCTGTCTCAAAATCCAATAGCCTCTGTCTCAAAATTTCTCAAAAATAGTCTCTGTCTCAAAATTTAATTGTCTCTCAAATCTAGTCTCTGCCTCAAAATGTCTTAAATAGTCTCTGTCTCAAAATTTAATTGTCTCTCAAATCTAGCCTCTGTCTCAAAATGTCTTAAATAGTCTCTGTCTCGAAATGTAATATACTGTAGTCTCTGTTCCAAAATGTCTGAAATACTCTGTCTCAAAATATCTCAAATAGTCTTTGTTTAAAAATATCTAAAAATGTAATTGTCTCTCAAATAGTCTATGTCTCAAAATGTAATAGTCTCTGCCTCAAAATGTAATAGTCTCTGTCTCAAAATGTAATAGTCTCTGTCTCAAAATGTAATAGTCCCTGTCTCAAAATTAAATAGTCTTTCAAAATGTCTCCAATATAGTCTTTGTCTCAAAATGTCTCCAATATAGTCTTTGTCTCAAAATGTCTCTAATATAGTCTTTGTCTCAAAATGTCTCTAATATAGTCTTTGTCTCAAAATGTCTCCAATATAGTCTTTGTGTCAAAATGTAATAGTCTCTCAAAATGTCTCCAACATAGTTTCAGTCTCAAATAGTCTGTCACAAATAGTTTGTCTCAAATAGTCTGTTTTAAATAGCCTCTGGCTCAAAATTTCTCGAATAGTCTCTGTCTTGAAATGTCTCAAATAGTGTATGTCTCAAATGCAATAGTCTAAAATAGTCTCTGTCGCAAAATGTGTCCATCTCC